GCAGTTTTATATACGAAAGGGTATAAGATAGACAAGGAATATAAAGGATGTTGCTTAAGAATAGGTAGGTAGGGTAAGGCAACAAAAAATAGGACTAGATTCCTTGTTTCCCTGTTCACACAAATAGAATTTTTAGGAATAGTGGGACACGAAGAGGTAAAATAATAGGAACGGGCTCACTTTTAGTTGGCAAAAACCGCTGATGTGGCGCGTAGACTCCGCTGGACCTCAGCTTGGCCGGTTCTCAATAGCTGTCCTCTTGTCTTTTCTCCGCTCCAGATGAATTCTTCTTGACCGCTTTGTTGTTCTTAGGACTCGGGATGGTACGCCAATTTAATAATCTTCTTAGCTGATGTAGTAGATCGGCGTGGCTTCCTTTGTTCTCGTAGCTCGTAGTACTTGCGTTCGCGACGTTGTAAACGCGGGGTAAGTGCTACGACCTTTGGACCGTATTACGCGGCGAAATCGGAATTCGATATTTTAATTTATCACGGTCGCCACTATGTTCAGTTAGGGAACATTAATAAAATAGGCGACTCACACGATAGGCAAATTGTATATTTAAAAGGAATGAAAAATACAAAATATTTGGTGGCGATCGGGTCGCGAGCTATCGGCAAGTGCCGGTCTTAGGCGCGGTGGTGAGAAACCCCCCGCACTTCACATACTCCCCGCAAACACCGTCGGTGCTGTCGTAACGGCGCCGACAACGAGCACACAGTCCACCTGATGGTAAGTGGATGCTGTGGCCCATGGACATCTACATTTATCTTCGTTTGCGAATCAAAACGCAGATGCGTTGTCACTCGTGAGGACTAAGATGGAATGCCTCTTTTCCAGTAAAAAGGGTCTCCGGTTCTCTACACTCACTATTTGACGCTGGAATTCTGTGAGAGCGTGGTCCTTCCCCGGTCGAGCCGACCCATTTGTGCTACAACTATACTACTAATATAGCTGCAGCGAGGCTCTACATGTAACATGGCAGAACCTTAGGGATAGAATGGTAAGTACAGCGGAAGAAGTGTGTGGAACGATAAAAAGAGGTAGTAGTAAAAGAAGAGATGCATGGTGGAATGATGAAGTAAAAGAAGCTGTAAAGAAGAAGAAGAAAGCATGGTTAGACTACTTGGCCTCTAGTAATAATAAGGATATAAGAGAGAAGATAAAAGAAAGATATAAGCTGCAGAAAGTTCACACGAAAGCATTGATTGAGGAAGTGCGTGAAAGGAGTAGAATGGAAGCGGACGAAAGGTTGTCGCACAACTTTAAGGAGAACTCCAAACTCTTCTGGAAATAGGTTGGAAGGACCCGAAATGGTGCAACGGCCTTAAAAATGAACAAAGTACTTTCGAGAACCAATGACCTCCTCTCAGAAAAATCGGACGTCATGCAGCGATGGAGCGAATTTTATAGAGAAATGTATGCGTGTGATGATCTTAGTGAGGGATCCGGGGGTGACGCCGTGACTGGTACGCCAGACCCGGACCTCGATGACACTGAGGTCATCAGTACGAAAGAGATTGAACGTGCGATTCGAAGTTTGAAATGTGGTAAGGCTGCGGGACTAGTCCCGCAGCCTTACCACATTTCAAACTTTATCACATTTCAAACTAGACAGAGTTACTGCTTAAATGGTCAAGTATGGTGGGCCTCACGTCTGGGACAGCTTTCATCTGCTGTGCAATTTGTGCTGGCGGACGGGGGATGTCGCGGATGATTGGCGATCCGCAGTCATTGTGCCTTTATATAAAGGTAAAGGTTCACATTTTGACTGCGGGTGCTATCGGGCGATCAGCTTGACCAGTTTAGCAAGTAAAGTTTACCCGAAAGTTTTGACACGTAGTATGCAAGAGAAATCGGAAAGATTTCTATGGGAGGCACAATGCGGATTTAGACCTGGAAGAGGATGCACGGATCAAATGTTTTCTCTCCGCATGATCACGGAAAAGCTTCTGGCTGCTAACCAGAAGATTTTTTGTGCTTTTGTGGATCTCGAGAAAAAGTATTTGATAAGGTTGTAAGGAAGAAAATGTGGGAACTGTTGCCGGGGTATGGTGTGGATGGTCGATTGCTAAGGGCTGTGCTGTAAAGCCTGTATTCGGGTGGACAGGCGTGTCGCTACCGGCAACAAAGTCAATGGTGCCCTTGACTGCGTTATTCAAAAGACAAGGCGTAGTGAAGAGTGCACACCTTGCAATACATAACGCAGTGTTGGTACCGACTTTGTTATATGGCAGCGAAACCTGGGTATGCCAGAAGAAGCATAAAAGCAAGTTGAATGCAGTAGAGATGCGATCTCTTCGTAAAATGTGCGGCGTTACCATGGCCGACCGAAAGCGAAACGAAGAAATTCGCAATATGGCAGGATTGAAAGATGACCTTATCATAAAAATTGATAAGGGCGTGCTTCAATGGTTTAAGCACGTTGAGCGAATGAATGAAGACCGAATGGTGAAGAAAATATATAGCGCGAAAGTTAATATTAAAAGATGTCGAGGTAGACCGAGACTAACTTTCGAAGACCATGTGAGCAAATTGCTCGAAGAGGGGAGGGTCAAGAGTACTCGGATACCTAGACGTACATGTATGGAGAAGATAATGAATCTGAAAGAAGCGAAAGTGGTATGTAAGGATCGTGACACTTGGCGATCTGTTCTCTCTGGCTACCCCGTCAGGGATTGTGCGTGAAGATAAGTAAGTAAATAACTATGTATGGATAAGAGCGATTTTAAAAAGTATCGAAGTGTTACCCTTGATATGCCGTCTTCCGTACAATCAACACGTCAATATTCATTTCTCTATTTAACAAAAATATATGCATATCGTAGTTGTACGTGTTGTCGTATAGTTTTTCATTAATTTTAAATGGCGGGCGGCGCCAGCGCTGACCGGCGCGTGTCGAAGATTGTCGGAACTTATCGGCGACGTTCGGCTACGTTCGGCGGTTATCGGTGCTTATCGGCGTCTGCTCATATAAATGCCTGCGCCGGTTACCAGCGTGGACCAGTCCCTATAAGCGCTGATAGGTTGCCAGTTTTCTTTCTGTATACGGCCTAATAGTCGATGATTCGGCAAAATATGGCCGACAGGTCAATCTGGCCAACAGAAAAAACAAAATTTTGGTTGCGTTTTTATCACGCATTAAATCCGAAAAAACTTTCTTAGTTTAGCTATCATCAAAGTTACCCCAGTTCGCAACGTAACCCCGTTTTACAATATTGAAAGACTTCATGTAATGTTCTTAATATTTTGAAAGTTTCCTAAATATTCCTGTCGAACACGTGGTAAATTAGCATACAAAATACCAGCTAACAATTTCATCAATGCTGGTGGAGATCGATCTCGGCTTGCTAGCTAACTGTGCTAATTTTAATTATAAGATGAGCGTTCCCGTAAGCTATTACGGTACTATCCTATAGAAATAACTGCGGAGCTTGAGTGAGAAAGTGGATTCTTCTCGCGCTGCAACTGATTTTTCTTGCCTTGTGTTTTTATGACGTGTACCAGACTCAGATTTATTTTAATAACGAAATTTAACAGAGCCACACTAATTTCCGATGACATGTAGTTTTAAAATAATTGCATTTAAAATTTAACGAGGTCTAATAGTAATTAATATTGGACCTGGTTTGAATTTTAATTAGGAATAGGAATAGTTGAATAAGTTTAGAAAAAATAAGTAATCCACATATTCAGATATAATACAATTATATAAGAGTACTGCAAAACAAAAAGGACATAAATATACCAAAATTGGTTGGTTATAGCCCTATTAAAAACAAACCACTTACTGATAACCTTAACCATGTAGTGGTGTTGTAAGAATATCCCCTACCCCATAATATCGTGCCGTGAGTATCGTAAGAGGCGACAGAGGTAAACTGAAACAGGAAATAGGCAGCAGTATCTTCTTGATAACAGCTCAAAATAATAAAAAACCAACCCGCTTGAAAAAATTTTAAACTATGTCAAAAACCCCTTAAGAGGCAATCTATACGGAAGATCAATGTCCAGCTGTGCACTTTTCTAGGCTGTTATGTATTGATTGATATTCTCGGGTTTAGGATGATTATTTGTCACAAAAGTACTTTAGCCGCGTCGCCACAAGGTTCGCAGTATTCAAACATTAGTTGTAAAATGTTGATTATCTTCAAATGTTAAATACTTTAAATTTTAGTTTACATATTTTTGACGGGCCTCCTCTAATTAAAAAAATAATTTAGTAATAAAACAATTTTTATAGAATAAGTGTGACAAACGAGTACAGTCCACCTGATAGCCCATAGACATCTACAACTATCCTGGATTAAGAATCAAAATGCAGATGCGTTGTCAGCCCCGATAAATTACATGTAATGTTTCGTTTCTAGTGGAAAGGGTCTTCGGTTAAATCCAATTTTTTATTTATTTATAGGATAGGGTAACAAACGAGCACACAGGCCACCTGATGGTAAGTGGTTACTGTGACCCATAGACATCTACATCTATCCTCAATAAAGACTCAAGATGCAGATGCGTTGTCACCCGTGAGGACTAAGATGGAATGCCTCTTTGTCAGTAAAAAGGGTCTCCGGCCCTCTACACTCACCATACGAAACAGAGCAGTATTAAGCTACTATTTTACCCTGGTTTTCTGTGAGAGCGTGGTCCTTCCCCGGTCGAGCCGACCCATTCGTGCTACAACAATACTACGAATATAGCTGCAGCATGGCTCTACCACGTATATATTTACAATATACAATTCCTCAAAACACGTATATATAAACAATTCCTCAATGAGTCTCCACTGCCATAAATAAAATGTGCCCACTTGCACTGCTGTTCTCTGGTCTGAAGGGTATAATTACACCTTTGAGGCATTCCATCTTAGTCCTCAGAAGTCAACTCATCTGCAGCATTTTTTTGAAGTTGGTTGTAGGTGTCCGTGGGCTGCATTAGCCAGGTGAACTTAAAGTTCGTTTTTCACTTCAATTTTATAATAAAAAATACTGCCTTTTCAGATCAAAAGCGTTGCAATAATTATTGAATTTGAGTGGTTCATGGTCTGCAGTTTCATCGTGCTCTTCATCTACAACCCGCTCGTCACGGCAGTGGGCTTGGGTCCAGTCTTCTACTTCTTCGCGGTCGCCTGCTTCTTTTCCGTCATCTTCTGTTTCTTCTTCTTACCAGAAACGAAGGGCCTTACCGTGGATGTTATTCAGACGCTCTTCGAAAAGAGAAACATTCGACGACGTTAAATGATCGTTTCAGAAATTATATAAAAAAAAATTAAATAACTTAATAAATATAATATATAATAAATAATAAATAACTTCGGCAGATCACGTTAATTCCTTACCAATACAGTCATCAAATTTTGTTTTAAGTAGAGTAGACAATTTCTTATGGGCCCTGTGTCGCCTACAGTCTTGGAAAAAACTATTTTTCCTAATATAGGAAGTTAAAAACGGTGGGAGGGGCAGGCCCGACATCACATCGCCGAGGGCTTACATGGCTTAATTCAGCCCTATTTCTGATAATTCAAAAGCTCAAGAGAGTATACGGGCTGGAATACAACTGAGATAAAGGTTTTTAATGAACTATTGATGCGCTATACCCGAACGACAAAGCCACAAAACCAAGGGAGACAATTGCAGCTGGGAGTAATAATAAATATGAGATATTGACGAAATCACCATCCTGTATCATTTACCTATTTCCTCCTTTAAAAAAGGACCGATTGGGAATAATAAAAAGGTATTGTGGCTATGTCTGCATGTTGTTATTTTATTTAAATTTAAATCTGTTTACTTGATACCTAATAACAATGATAATAAGTTTAGCATTGGTATACTCGTAAGTAATAATTTTAGGTTTGCGGATTGTAAAATAAGAAATGAATGAAAAATGAAACCTAAAAATATGGCTGTCATCATTCATCATCATTACAGCCTTTCATAAGTCCACTGCTGAACGTAGGTCTCACCCAAGGAATGCCACAAAGCACGGTCCTGAGCCACCTGCATCGATCGATTTCCTGCATGTCTTACCAGGTCGTCACTCCATCTCGTGGGAGGTCGCCCTACACTTCGCCTATCGGTACGAGGCTGCCACTCAAGAACCTTTCTTCCTCATCGGTTGTCGGTTCTTCGAGCTATATGGCCGGCCCACTGCCATTTCAGCTTACTAATCCGTTGAGCTATGTTGGTTACTCTGGTTCTACTGCGGATATACTCATTTCTAAGTTTATCACACAGAGGAACCCCGAGCATAGCCCTCTCCATAGCTCGCTGAGCGACCTTGAGCTTCCTCATACGGCCAGCAGTGAAGAACCACGTCTCAGATCCGTATGTCATCACTGGCAAAACGCACTGGTTGTTTCAATTTCGTTTTAAGGTTTTGAGGTATGTCTGACGAGAAGATGTGTCGTAGTTTCCCGAACGCTGCCTAGCCGAGTTGAATCCTTCGATTGACCTCTCGGTTGAAGTTGGACTTACCTAGTCGGACTATTTGTCCCAGGTAAACATACTCGTCAACAACTTCGAGCTTAGTACTCCCAACAACTACTGGCATAGGTGTGACATGGACATTAAACATGATCTTTGTTTTGTCCATGTTCATCCTAAGACCTATTCGTTGGGAGACACTATTGAGGTCATTGAGCATGGTGCTTAGGTCCTCCAGCGATTCTGCCATAAGGACTTTATCGTCGGCAAATCGAAGGTAAGTGATATACTCGCCATTGATGTTAATACCGTAAACTTTCCAGTCCAGAATCTTGAAAACGTCTTACAATGCAGCGGTGCAGAGTATCGGGGATATAACGTCACCCTGTCTTACACCTCTCTGCAATTGGATAGGTTTCATACTCTGATTCTGTACTCGGTTAGCCATCGTAGCCCTAATGTATAAGCACTTCAGCACTTCGATATACCGACAGTTAACTTGGCATCGCTGAAGGGACTGCAGCACCGCCCAAATTTCTACGGAATCAAAGGCTTTCTCATAGTCCACATACGCCAGACATAGTGGCGAATTGTACTGCTCGGACTTCTGTACAATTTGCCGAAGGGTATGTTTGTGGTCTATGGTGCTAAAGCCTTTTTGGAAACTGGTTTGCTGGAAGTCGTCAAGTCTGCGTGCGAGACGATTCGTAATGACTCTCGGAAACAGCACGTAGACTCGGCTCAGAAGGGAAATCGGTCTGTAGTTCTTCAAGAGAGCGTTGTCACCTTACTTGAAGAATAAGACCACCGCACTTTTGCTCCACGCCTTCGGTGTGATCCCACCATTGAGGATGGAATTAAACAGCTTCTAAAGGACTTTAAATACCGGTTTTCTACTCGCTTTCAGAAGCTCCGCTGCAATTCCATACTCGCCTGGGGCCTTGCCGTTTTTAAGGTGCTGGAGAGCCATTCTAATCTCGCTCAGACTGACGTCCGGGATATCATCGAAATAGTGTCGGATAAGACTCGCTCTTGGATCGTTACTCACACTTACGTGGGGCTCCAACAATAATGAGTACAGCTGCCCATAGAACCACTCAATCTCACTCAAAATCTCAGGTGTCCCGGAAACGATGCTGCCACACTCAGTCTTCAGCTTTGACAGTTGGCTCTTTCTGGCAGACAGGTCTCTAGCAAAGACTTTGGAGCCCTGGTTCCGCTCGATCGCTTCTTCAATACGAGCAGTATTGAAGTTGATTAAGTCCCACCGCATGCATTAGGAGATCTGTCTGTTCAGTTGCCTGTATGCTGTCAAATTTACTGAAGACTTCAGCTTCATATCCCGTGTAACAGCCATGAGATTAAGAGTGTGATCGGAGAGTTTTTGTGTTCTTCTGCGGCGGGTCTTGCAAACCTTAGCTCCGACCGCATGGACAGTTTCCACGAGCTTGTCATTAATATCGTCCACTGCATTGCAATCTTCTAGGCACTGAAAACGGTTTTGTAGCTCGAGCTGAAAGGTTTCGGGACTTTGGATTAGAGCACGAGGGTGACGGAGCATTGACTTCATTAGACGTGACCTCTCAAACTTAACGTTTAGGTTCAGCGTGCCTCTAACCATTCATTGATCGTTGCCAGTTTCACCCTTGCGATCACTGAGACATCACTGAACAGTTGTCGTCTGGTCGTCGTAATGAAGTAAATCTCAATTTTTGTCAAACCGTCGGGTCTCAACCAGGTCCACTTCCTGTGGGACCGCTTCTGGAAGAAAGAGTTCATCATCATCATCAGAGTCCCTCTTTCTCCATGAAGTCGGCCAGCTGGTCCCTTGGGTTCCGTTGCCAAAATCTTTTACATGTTTACCAACATAAATGATGAAAAACCCCAAAGGGATATTTGGCGCAAATGCCCCTGAATTTTTTTTTCGAGGGTTTGAAGTTTTAAATTTTTAAGGCAGTTTTTCATAATAAATCGACTAAAGCTCACTTTTTTACACAGGAATATTTAATTTAAAATTATATGTGTACATAAACTAACAAAATCATGAGATAAAATTTAGTACTTACATCTGATATCTTTAAAAAGGGTATCTTAGTAAACTACTTAATAAAAGTTATAACATTATTAAGTATAATACCGCAAACACATTTCTACCATTTTTATACAAATTCCTGTATTTTAGGAAAACAATAATGTTCTTAAATTACAACACTAATAGCATGGCGTCTAGAATTTGCGTTCATTGGTCATGTTAATCAAACTTGGCAGCTATATTATCGTTATAGCACGAATGGGTCGGCTCAACCGGGGAGGGACCGCGCTCCCATAGAATGCCAGCATAAAATAGCAGTCCAATGCTGCTGTGTTGAAACGAGGCTTTCCTTCTTTTTCCTCAGGGGTGGCACCGCATCTGCGTTTTAATTCTTAATCCACTTATGATTTGGTGGACTGTGTTCGTTTGTCACCCTTATTCTTTGAATAAAACTCACTCGCGCCAAAATTCGTATTGTGATTTGTGTAAGGTCGTGAACAATTGAATGAGGTGGTCCATTGTTGAAAGAGTAACACTTGCAATTTGCCGTCACGAGGACGTTGAACGAGGTAATACATCACTAGTTCCGAGATATTAGGTCACAACATTTTAAGATTTTAGTTGAATTAAACAGAGGATCGGTTACTTCTAAAGGTAAAGACACCCTTATTTTAAAAACAGAAACTGTTTTTTGCAGACGTTTATAACATAGTACGGCATAATTTTTCAATTGTAGACAGAATCATTCTATAGTTCGCGGCAGACTACCGAGCTTCCGTCTTCATAGCTCGGTCTTATATAGTAAATTGCCAGTTGTAAAATTTATAAGCACTATTTTATGTGATTTTTTTTCAACTGGCTGTTAGATTTCTACGTAGTAGAGCCATGCTGCAGCTATATTATGGTTGTAGCACGAATGGGTCGGCTCGACCGGGGAAGGACCACGCTCTCACAGAAAACCAGCGTAAAATAGCAGCTTAACGCTGCTGTGTTTCGTATGGTGAGTGTAGAGAACCGGAGACCCTTTTTACTGGCAAAGAAGCATTCCATCTTAGTCCTCACGGGTGACAACGCATCTGCATCTTGAGTCTATATTGAGGATAGATGTACATGTCTATGGGTCACAGTAACCATTTACCATCAGGTGGACTGTGTGCTCGTTTGTCACCCGATCCTATAAAAAAAAAGAAAAAAAAAAGATAAGATTCGTCCATACTATCCATACTATATACTATAATATTATAAATGCGAAAGTGTGTTTGTTTGTTTGTTTGTCCTTCTTTCACGTCGCAACAGAGCGTCGGCATGGCATGATTTTTTGTATTGGGATAGTTCGGTGACTGTAGAGTGACATTGGTTACTTTTTCCGCGGAAAAACATCACATTCCCGTATGAAATTGAATATGTTGCAAAATTAAATTCAGCTAGGTGGCGCCACCGTGATTCTACAAGACGGACGACGGTACGGTGGACCAACACAGAAGGTCAGAATATCTGGATTATTATGTCTCATTAACAAAATTAAGGTAAAAAATTTATGGATCTGTATTTTTTCACGCTAGACCGGGAAGAAAGCGATAAAGAACATAAAATTCACCAGCTGATTTTCTTCAAACGTTTTGGCGCATTGTTATTCACAGAATAGGCGATAATCCGTTGAAGCTCTGCCTACCATGCAAGGGTTACAGGCGTGATTATAAGTATGGATCAGAAATACTATCACCACCTGTCACGCTTTCACCCTTAACTATTACTTAACTGTGGTAGAAACAGTTCTTAG